CCAATTCAAAAAGATCAATTATACACCATCATATTATTGAAACATTTGATCATAAGTTCAATAAACCTAATTTCCTATAAGGAACTAACATTCATATGATACCTTTCCAATGACATTAGGAAATCTTCTTTTTCCAACTAGATTTCACTAAAATGCAAGACAAAAGAACTACAAATTAATCGAGATTCCCGAACGAACTTTTTTTTTCCGACGAGACCAAAACTCAAGACCCGACATGACAACACACGAACATCACGACAGCCACAAAGAAAACGGGACCCGACCATCGCCCCTCGTCTATCGAGGCCCATTGAAGCAAGAAAAAAACGAGCAGCAGCAAACAACCCCACCCTAGTTCTTCCCCGTTTCCTCCAAAAAAAGTCGAGCACTTAGTCGCTATATACGCGGCCAATATCAACACAAGAGGACCAAGAAGCATTGTCGAGACCATGTACACGACAAAAAGTATAGCAAGAGGCAACATGAATGTATAACCGAGCGCCAAAAAAGGTACGAACAAAAAGCACGTGAAAATTACATTTTCGGCCTCCGAGGCGTTCGGGAGATTGAGGCTCAACGGGAAGGAGTTTCCACGGAGAACGAGGCCAAGGGCCGCGACTAAGAGGAGCGGGATTAGCGGAGATGGGCCGTTTTTGGCCATTTCTTTTAAGGGTGAGCTGAACTTGAGTTTGAGAACTTGAGGTGATGTGATTTAAGCTAATTGGCAATGGTAAGTTGAAGGTCAGATCTTTTTTTGTAAATGGTTGGTTGTGTTTAAATATAGCTAAAAATGGGTGGGGGCTTGTTTTCAGTTGCTTTTTAGGTTAACCAACCTCTCTATAGTTTGGTGCTACTAATAGTTCATATATCAGTTATGCAAACATCATGTAAGAAATTAAAAGTTCAAAATAATGCAAAATCATAACACTATATGTTGCTGAAATAGGCATGGAGTTTAACATAGAAAATATAGATTTTTTTTGGGTTAAATTTATGATTGTCTCCGATTAATTTATAGTTTTACTATGGAGCAATCAGATGGAACGATTTATGGAGTCATCCACAATAATTAATAAACAGTGTATTGACACATGTTCTATAATCAATCTCGACTCGACTTGCTAGACGGAATAAAAGTACTATGTTTGGTATTACCCTCAATTCACATGTATTGTGTGAACATCATATAAGAAATGCATACAAATTAACCTCATATAGGGAGGGAGAGATTTAAGGAAAAAAAGATAGGCATGATAAGGGTGAACTTTGGATGACTAACTAAAAAAAAAAAGTTATGCATTTCTTTCCTTTCAAAATTCCCTTTTGCTAAGTGTCAAGTTATGTCATTCTTTCCTTTCAAAACTCCCTTTTGCTAAGTGTTGGCACTAAAAGTGTGAAGCAAATAAGCCAAAGCCAAAGGAAAAATTAAAGTCTAAATATAAAATTTGTCACCTTTTACAACAGAAAAAAAAAAGTGAGATTGTGGCAATAAGAATGCCGAGAGAGATCGACTAATCCCTTTTTGTCGCCTTTTCGTAACCAAAAAATATCACATATGAATTAAGAATAGTGATTCGAATAAACATCACGAGTCAGTACTGCTTTATTTAATAAAGAAATCCATACACATAAATTCCTGTCGCACGTATTTAGCGCATTGTACTCTGCATGCTCAATACAAACCAGTTTATTAACTTAACCCATGAGGCACTTGCGTCCGCTCGAGATTTATCTCATCAACTCTTTGTTATTACTAAGGTTACATAAAAGGTCTAAGGTTTTATTTCAGTTACCTCGTACTCATGAGATACTTTAAGTGGAGAGTCCTTTGAGACGGGCCTCTCTTCTGACCAGAGCTCCAGATTGACTGTGCCCGTTCCCCAGTGAATTAGACATTTGTAAACTTGAGCTGTATTAAACCGGTTTACTAGAGCCAAACCGAGACATCTATCGACGAGCCTCCATTCACCTGATGAGGAAATTCAAAATCTTTACGTTTAACTTCAATCTTTAGGTTTTTCCGATTTTCTTTTTCAATCTTTAGGTTTTTCCGATTTTCTTTTTCTTAGTTAAATGAGTATTATCTAGAATTTTTCCATTTTTGGGTTTTTTCAATTTTCTATTTTTTTTAAGCTGTGCTATGTCCTGATTTATGTTACAATAAATGCTTCCTAGTTTTTTGCACCTTGTGATTGATTTACTTAACAGTATCTGTGCTTTTCTAGGATAACATGAAAAAATATTACTAAATTTTATACCGTTTGGGCGAAGGTCTCCTTGGAGAGCAAGTTCACCGGATTCCGGCCAAATCTCACGTTTGGACCCATCAATGGCGGTAAACGATACATATGATTCAGTAGGGTGCAGCAAATTGAATGTGGGGTGCACTCTCAAACACACAAGCCTGTGGAAAACAAAGAAATTAAAAGAAACCGTAAAACACAAAGAAATTTGTTCCGATTACAGTAATGCAGTTTTTTCATGTATGTTTTTCCTCTAGTTGCACAGAAGAATGCAGAAAAAGAAAAAAAAAATACTTGTTGACCTGAACCAAAAGTTTACGAAAAACATTTATCTAATCGAGATTATAACCTTGAAAATCCTCCAGATCCAGCACCAACTTTGCGGGCCACTAAGCCCGAATCTATACAGATAATCTTCTTATTGTCTTTCGGAATATATATCTGTCGTTCGAGGGCTAAACCACCTCCAATATCACCTTCTAATTGCAGTGACTCCATTTCTCCTGCTAACTCCATTCCCCGCCTACAGAGCAAAAGATATACAAATACATCCGCTCAAAACGAGTTTTTCTTTTTGTTAATCAGAGTTAATTTTGAAAAAGATTGTAAGGTTAGTTGTTAGTGAGATTTTGAAATTAGATTAAAATAATATTTAAAATAAAATAATTAAAATTTATTTGATGTAAAAGTACGAGAGATATTATGTGATTAAAATTTGTGAGTGGATGAATAGTGAACTAAAGTTGATATGATGTGTAAAAATGATTAATTAGTATTATTTAATTATATTGATAATACTGAGGATAGTGGTGTTGGGTTAAAATTGAGTTAGATCGAGTATAGAATGAGAAAACTTATAAACAAATACACCCTAAGGTAAAAGCACTGAGAGTTCAAGTTTTTAAGATGGTGAAGGTGAACTATATATTTACACAAAGCTAGAATTAGAAAGTCATTTATTTTGTAATTAATAAAGCAATTATTTTCTGTGAATTACACACTTACTCAACAACTAAATATTCTTCAGAGCATCCTGCTGATCGGTACTCCACGCTACTGTACTCCTCATAGCCATTGATATCAACTCGGCTATGAAGCCACTGAGTACCTATTTATTGCACATTCTATGTAACCGTAATAAAAATAGCACTGTAAAAAATTTGAGAATAACGTGAAGGGATTTACCTGACGGGAGGTGCTGCATTGAAATCACTCTACCTCCAATCCATGGTACAACTTTCAAAGCCCAATCGCCACTTTTTATTTCGACTGGCGTTCTTGATAGTTCTGTACCCTTGTGTCCAGTGAAATTATCCTGGTCCGGAATACGTTTAGCACTTCCTGAAAAAAATAACTAATATACGAATCAGTAATAATCATGAAAGGAACTTTCAATGTGATAATCATCAAATGTTGGTCGGTTGAAGGCTAAATTGCATTTTTAGTCTTGCTGGTTTAACGCCGGAACAATTTTAGTCTCAAAATTCTAACATTTCGCCTTTTCCTGCATTAACTCAAAAGGACTGAAATTGCTATGCATTTAAACCAACATGACTAAAAATGCAATTTTGCCTCGGTTGGAAAACTTCAATTGATTCAGTTAATGCGTGTTCTCTATTTTTCTTTTTTCAGTATCATTAATTAAAAAGAAAATATCACCTAAACGAGTTCTGAATTGCTTTTCACCAGCAAGCACAAAATCAGACATTTCTCTTTCCGGAGGCAATGGAATTTCCAGAGTTTCTCCATCGACGCCCCATGCATCAATCTGCAATAAGAGTCACAAAAATGCAATATTTAGTTAATGCAAAAATTCTTCTCACAAATAATTAGAACTCCAAAGAACAGTCACTCACCATCGCACATTTCCCAAGGAGAAGTTTCACGTTTAACCTACGATTTGGCCTCGTCCAAGAGCCTTCGGTTTTCAAAACCTTCACAATAACCACGGAAGAGTGCTTTTCAGCAGCATAAGTTGTCAAGAGATAACCTCCTTTAGTGTATTCATATCCATCACCATCATCTTCAAAGAGAAAACCTTCAGCTTTACCTGCAATTTTTTTTTTTTTTTGTTTGATGATCCAGGTCCTCCAGTTAAATATTAAGATGAAATCTTACGAAAATGGTTGTCATATATATTACAGAGTTGACATTCCAATTCCAGATTTATTGTATCTAATGAACTTTGATTGCTTTAGACATCTTTACTCGAAAAAACTTTTTTTTTTCAACCCTATTTATGTGTCTAATGAACTTTGATTGCTTTAGACAACATCTTTATTATTAAAAAAAAAAATACTGGGATTTCTTCACTCTTGCCACCACTTGACCAAACTAGCTGTAACCTCTGCTATAAGGAACATTAATTTTAAAATTGATTAGCCACATCACAAGAATGCAATGCCAGAAAGATTTACCGTTCTCATCTAAAGCTACTAGCAGTGATAAATCATCTGTAAATTTAGCTTCATCAACATGTTGGTGAAGAGGGGCCACCGGGACAATCGAACCACCTTGAAGATATAATGCAGGCAAATCCTAGACGAGGCAAAAGATGAAAAGGCATAAATAAACTACTGAAAGAGGTTGATAATCAAAGAAACAATATGAAAAAGTTGTAAAGGAAAAAACTTGGAACCGGATGAGCATCCTCAAAATCAAAACTGAACCAGGATCCTTTAGGCAACTTGTGATGCATTTGGTACAACTCCTCGTCTTTTCCTGTGCTGCATTTTTTTTTTTTTTTTAATATTTGGACAAAGTAAGCACAACGATTTTATACCGCCTGTATAAACATGGTAAATATTCTATATTATAGAGATTGATAGAACCTTCCATATACGAGCAGTGGTCCCAAGAGAAATGAATTTTCATGCTTTCTTAGCTCCAAATCTTTAGGATCTGAGAAGGATTTTGATAATATATAAAGCTACTAAATATTATAAGAAAGTAAAAAAATGACTGAATGACGTAATGTCATAATCAGTTAATTGTTTATGAGAATATACCAGCAAAGAATGTTGGAGTAGCCACTGGAACACCCCTCATATGAGCCATGTAAAAGAGAGTATATATGTGGGGTAAAAGCCGATATCTTCTCCGTAATGCCAGTCGGCAAACTTCCTCACACTGTAAAGGGGAGAGTGAGTAAGTGAGGATAGGAAAAAAAAAAAAAGAATTTGTATAATCATAGACTCCAAACAGTTGTGTACCGTTACACTTAAAACTCACGAGTTTGAATTTCAGTCATTACAGTTTTCCGAATTCTTCTTTCTTCTAATTTTTTTTTTTAAGCAGAAATCAGACAAACCTCTTCCCCGAAAGACCAAGGTTCATGATCGACAGTATCAGTCTCAGAATGCCCACGACAAAATGGAAACATGGCACCAAATCCCATCCACCTTCCAAACATCTTTGGCGTGGCATTACCAGCAAACCCACCAATATCCGGGCCCGAAAGTGGCTGCCCACTCAGCCCCTGTTACACAAAGGCCATCGTTCATCAGAGCAATCGTTTGATCGAAAAATGGCCAAAATTATTGGCATAATTTTGTAACCAACTAAGCTAAACAATGCCAGTCATTTCAAACACGCAGAAGGTAATAGCCCCTCTAATTTTATTTTTTTTTATTCTGTATTTACTATTTCAGATCGAGCCAGATAGTTTTACCGATTTTTACATCCCTTTAAATAATTAGTCAAATTATCAGTTATGCGGTTATGCTTAAAGGTTTGAGAGCTTAAGGCTTTGCTTGTTAAAAAAAAAAAAAA